AGATTGTATACCAAAGAAGGAATTTTTCTTTTGCTTTTCAAAGAAAGGAGCAAACTGGGGTTGGGGTGGGGGTGGAGGGCTGAGCAGGGAGAAAAGTGCAACAATGAATGAATGGAAATCCAAAATCTCTGTAAATGTTCATTAAAATTAAGAAAATAAAATTAAAAAATAATGCTCAAATATTTATCCTGGAGTTTTAATCTGCCCTTCCATGCAGGGAGGATACACAATGGACAATTGTTAATTCATATGTTCATTCATGTATTTATTTGTTCAGTGCTAAGGTTGTGCTTATCAAATAAGTAACTGTGATGCAAGTTAAAAAGTGATACGTCTTAAAAAGAGATGTGTTGTTGGATGGCAACAGAGCTAAATCTTTTCTGCTGTAGATGTTCCTGCAGGTGATTAAACGTCTTTCTATAAAAGTTACTGTGAAATTAGCCCCTCAATCCTTCCACCAATATGGACATAAATATCAAGGAGATTTCATATACATTTTCAGTAAAGAGAATTTTTATATATTCAATTGTAAGCATGGTTACTGAAAGCACAGTAGGAGAGTCAAGAGGTAGTTGAGATAAATTCCTCTTTTTTTATCTTTACCACGTCATAGTAACTGAGGCAAAATGTTTTTATCATTTTTAGCCAATTTTCAATTTGAGAGAAATGGAATAGAGAAAATTGTAGTGAAATTTTGACTCACTTTATTGACTTGAACATTAATAGCATGTACAGAGGTCACCACCCTGAGCTAAAGTATTATGTATCTGGGCATGGCTGGAGAGTGATGGGACTTCAAGTCTTCCAGGCATCTGGGAATCACAGAAGGTTCTAAGTTTGTGTGTAATAATGCAGTAACTCTCTACCTCTTAATTAGCTTAATCCAAGAAATAGTACAGTGAAATCCTGTGTGTGTACATGTGCAAACATAGACAATGTACTGCCTCCCTGGAAGAAATAGAAAAAAAATGAAGGCATTGAAGCAAAGGAGAAGTATTCTTTCTGAAGGCTGGAGTGTTTTGTTTGTAACAATGTTATAAGTCCTTGACAAAGGATGTTATTTAATGATTCTCCATTGCCACTGAGTCAATCTTAAATCACAGAAATCTTATTAAGACAGAGCAGAATGGTCCCACAGGATTTCTAAGGTTATTAATATTTACAGAAGTAAACTGCCACATCTTTCTCCCACATAAATGCTGGTGGGTTTGAACCACACATCTTTCTAGTAAGTGGTTGAGTGCTTTAACTTCTATACCACCAGAGCTCATCATTGTTGCTGTTGGATGTTATAGAGTATGATTCATAGAGTCTCCATAAACAACAGGTCAAAATTTTATCTCGTCATTCAACATTCTCACAATCCCATTAAGTAGGCTTCAATTAGTCAAGAAATAATCTAAAAACAGCATACATAAGGCATGCCACAGATTAATTTAGTAATTTCTACCTTGCAGTTAATGGTTGCCTCTGAAAAACCTCTGGAGGGTCAGCTATGGGCTGGTTCTGACTCTACAGTACACAACCACAACCACCACATTTCTATATTATTTAAATAGTTGTTTCAATATTTAATTTAGAAATTATTTGGAAACCTAAATTACCTAAATATTTTGAGACTCTAGAGTTTTTGATATACCAGTACAGATACTAAATGAAACTTTTTGGTACATTTAGAAAAAATAATCATGAATAAATGCATGGCAGAAATTTTGGGGTTCCTATAAAGGACTTACCTTTTGTTTATGATATCTTATCTTTACTTCCTTTCCAGATCTCTAATGAACTATATAAAATATGTTGATAAATTATACTTGAATGTAAAATGAGAAAAAACCCTCTAAGTATCCTTCAAATAATTTAAGAAAATAACTTAAAAAACTCTATTATGGTACATTTACACAAAGGAATACTATGCAGCACACAGGAGCAATAACTCTGTAAACTAGTACCTAACTTGGGAGGGACTGGAGAGCATTATGCTGAGTGAACTAACTCAGTCTCATAAGGACAAATATTGTATAAAACCGTTATTATAGAATGAGGATCCAGGAGGGGTGGGAGAGGCTGGAAGCAGAGAGATGTGGATGTGTGGGGGAAGGGGGGATTACTCATTGGGTTGTACAATTTGATGGGTGAGAAGGTGAGGGAAATTGAAAGAATTTGTTCAAATTTGTATTTGAATTTTATAAATAAACTAGTAGAAAAAACCCAAACCTCTATTATTATAATAAAAATATTTATTATAAAAATTATCACAATTTCTCACATTACCTAAAGATGAAAATACAACTTTACATTAATAATTTAAAGGGGTCTCAACAACCAGGATCCAACTGGAATTCTAACACTTCTACAAACTTCACAAATATTCACACGGAATATTTCTATTTTATAGAACTCCATTTACACAGTTGATGCTATAGAGATACTAACATTGTTTTACTCTAGTGTTGTAAAGATAGTTCACAGTGTTTGGTTTAATTAATTAATCAACTGCTTGAAATCTTTGGTAAGTACAATATATTTACACACAACATTTTAATTTCAATTCCAGGAAAGAAAAACTTGCAAAGTCAAATAACTTTTGCAAGTAGCTTTATGGAATCAGTAAATGTGTAAGTCAGTACCTAGAATCACAAACCTAACTGAAGATAAAATGTCACATCCACAGCAAACAGTCTGAGGCTTCCACTGTGGCTTACTACTAACACACCAGGCCAGCACAAAATGGAACAAAATTGTTAAATTCAATGCAGAGACAGTACTTATTATTTTACAGTACAGAAATTTCCACTTCTTTCTAACATTCCAGTTTAAATATTTATTTTCCATAGATGAGCATGTTGTCTCATAAAGGCCTGTTACCTTGTAAGAGTGAGAGACATTTAAAGAAGTCACACAGTGAAGGAAACCAATACTCCCTCCTCTTGCTGAAAATCTATTCAGGAGAATATGGGTTATTTTTTAAAACATTAATTTATGAGGATAATGGAAATGCCTGTCTATTGCTTTACTCCCTGTCTTCCTATCTTCCTGTTTCAAATTTGTCTTCCCTGAGTTCTCTTTACGATTGCACTGCCAACCTGTACAAATATACGTATACCTTCTATCTCCTCAATGTGTCATATGTATTACAGCGTCATTCATTAGCTTTCAATCCCAATGATTCACAAGGAAATGCATTCTGGTATTAGAACACTTATTTCCAGGCTATTTGTTAAAATTATTTCAAGGACTGTTTAAGTTCCAATGTTCTTGAGACATTTGAACATTAGAATTTTTTACAGACATGTTGATGATGGAGTGTACACAATAAAACCACATGTATAAAAACATCTCTTCTTTAAGCCTAGAAAATAGATAACCTTTGGATTATTCCCACCAGATGTTGGAAAATAGCCTTTCTTATAGAATCAGGCTTTGAACACACTAATTTCTTCACCAAAGACTGGTTTTCACAATCAACTGTTCAATTTAAAATTAAAACAAAAGACACTGTTTCCATCATTTTGGCAATTCTTCTCTCCCTTCAAAAACCAACATCCTGTTTTGAGTGCATATTTTATAAAACTCATCCAAGACTAGGCACCTGTCAATAAGTGTTCACCTTGTAAGTGTGAGTACAAAAAGCAGCATAATAAAGGAACTGTATTTATCAAAAGAAGCTTTTCTCTGATTTTTTTGCATTTGCCCAATGCCTCCACCAGAAACTCTGAATAAGACATTTGTATTCTTTCTTCCTCATTCAAAGTATTATTTTAGTTGCCAGCCCTTTACCCTGGGGTACATAAAAAATACAGGAAATGTACATTTACATGTATTTCTAATCATCGAGTGTAAACTGATCTCAAGTCCTATGAATGGCATTAAAATACTGATATCCTAACACCTGATACTCAATAAATACCATCATTTATGGCATCATAGGTGGTCTAAAATGTCAGCGTTCTGAAACTGTACGCCTGTGTCTTCATGTTCATTCATTTCCTGGTCTTTAATAAAGGGATGGGAATGTAAGGGCAACTTCTTCAGGATTTTATAGACCCTCATGAGCGAAGAAAAATGAAGAGCTGGCCTTTGGTTAACTCCTGCAGTTGTGCACTATGTTCTCCCACGCCACAGAAACAAGCCTATCACTCCTTAGCCAGTGTTCTGATCAAGGAGTTTTTGTTGCTGTTATTTGTTTTGGAGGAAACACAAGTTTACATGCAAACATTCAGGAAGCTGCACTGGCATTGAAGCCCTTTGATCCCTTAAAAGGTCTGGGGTGTCCTTCTTCACACAGCCCCTCCTGCCTTCGCTAGGTTCCTCGGTTCCTTACTGGGAATGCACCAGTCATCAGCCTCTGTGCTCATCTGATAATGTTTAAAGGCTGACTTGTTAAAAACAGGGAGTTTCTCTATAGACTCAGACGACAAAGCCTGAAAGAAGATGAGAAGAAAAAAAAAATAAGCTCATGATACTATTCATGACATAATTTGACCTTGACATTTGAAAAATAAATGAAGAGGTAAGTATTTAAATGTTCAAATGTATTAATTCACTTAGTAATAAGAAACTCTAGGGTAAACAATGGCCTGAGTATTACATAAAATAGAATTTAAAAAGTATCCTATGAAGTTGAAATCATAAGTATATACTTATAATGAAAGTATTTATAATTTTTACTTATCTCACTTGTTCAAGTATTGTGCATGTGAGACAGCTGAGTTGCAAACCTTTTCCTTCAGAGCAAATATCTGTCATGAAATGATATGCCTATTCTGATCCTATTAATCAATATAAAAAGGCTCCTTCCCAATAGTGTGGAGACTTTACTTATTGAATAAATGGACACATTCACTAACCCAGGTAATCAAAACCTATTTGGACAATATGATTCCAATGGAAAACCCAGAAGCCTGGAAAGTTGCTAGTATTTGCAAATATTTCCATAGTCAGTGGAAACAATTTGCAACTGATTAACAGAATCAGGACAGTGACCCTAACAAGTAAATGGAAGCTTTATCCAAAACAGAAGAAGAAAACGACATGGGTAAAGGTTTCCCTGACACTCCACTGACAGCTTCGGAGGGGTCAGCTTTCTTGGCTCTTTTCCTAATAAGGTCAACTTAATGTTCTGAGTGTCTTGACAGTCGCTATTCTCCAGACCGGATCATCATTAGCATATATTTTTCATAACCTCAAGAAATACACATTTATAGATACAGATGCCAAAAGGAGTTGCTTTAAAACTTCACATAGGGCTGCCTTCAATAGAAAACTTTTTTTTTTTACTTTCAGAACAAATGCTGGTTTTATTTTCTGACAATTCTTTTAATATAAAAGACATCTCAACCCTGCAATCTGCCAGCACGCCTTGTTTTCACAAGATGCATGTGAGGCCACAAGACTATGTAGCAAAGAGTCCTTAGGAGCATTTTGTGAGGAAAAGTACAAAAACTTGCTCTTTTGAGAAACAAGTTTGTTTTATTAGAGGCTGGTAACCTGTTCCAGCTACCTTTTTAGTAAGCAGCCCATTGTTATTGCTATGTGCCACTGATTTTGAACTGACTCATAAATGACTCTCCAATGGGTTTTCAGAAGCGGCCATTCTCGTAGGAGGAGCCTGCTATCTTTCTTCAGGTAGTGGATTCGAACCACCTGCCTTTGTCCCTAATACACTTATTAGGCCATATTAAGTAGTATGCCTACATACATTCAAACAGAAAATAAAATGACATGTGCTTTAACTCAATGCGGGAAATTCAATGTAGACAGAATTCAGAGCTGAAAAAGGGTAGTCTTTTTTTTTTTTGTTATTTCATATGACCGCATTATTTTATTACTGATATTTTTTCTGAACTCTCAATTCTGTTCTGTTGATTTCTGTGTCTATCCTTATGCTAGGGAACTCTGGTGGCCTAGTGGCAAGAAGCTGTGCTGCAATCCCAAAGGCACAGGGTTCAAGGCCACCATCTATTCCACAGGAGATCAACTTCCTTTTAATTAACTGTATCTGAAACCTACCGGAGGGTCAGCTATTGGTAGGTTCGGACTCTGTGGTACACAACAACAACATGCTAGAAATACTATTATTCTATTGACGTCAAAGCATACCTTTAAGTAAATGATGGCATCTGTTCCATAGCCTGACAAAGAGTAGAGATTCAGATCTCCTTGAAAATACTTGGCATAAAGACGAGATATTGGCAAACCATAACCAAAACCAGCCTAGAAAAGAAAGTTAGGTATTGGTAAAGAAGTGTGCATGATCCTGGGGACAAAACAAGGGAGTAAATATTTCTTTCCCTCGATGATACTGATGTCCTAGAGCCTAGATCAGTACCGTCTGCTTGCTATCACACTTCTCTTGTAGATTTAGTTCATCATGGTTAGTTGTCTTCATTAGTCTTTCCTTTAATATCTCATATTTAATTTATGGAAATTTATTTACTTGCCTAAACTTCTCCTTAAAATCCTTGCTTGTGCTGTTTGCTGTCAAGTCGAGCAAGGCTCAGTGACCCTATGAACAAAATGCCTGAAGCCTTTCTGTAACTATCAGTTTATAGAGTTTCCAGGGGCATGTTGTTTAGGAAGTGGATACCACTTCTGCTTCCATAACCCTTGTAAATTTTGAGTGATTAGGATGAATTGAATTGTCTAACGAGTCTTACCAAAGGCGCATTCCGAGAATTGTCCATCACAGGCGTTGGTGCAGTGGAGTATGTGTAACTAAAAAGGCGATCAATGATCCTGAGAGGCACACCACCTCCTCTGTCTGAAATCTTAAGCAAAAAAACAAGGCATCAAAGTTCCATCTCAAATAGAGCTTTTCTTTATTTAAGAGTCATCTTGCATGTATGACTCTTAAATGAGTTTTGCCAGCAGCAAAGATCTTTATCACTGGCACTTTTTAATCACCCCAAGAGAAACTCAAAGGTAAAAACAAAGGACTGTTACCTTAATTGTAAGATCTTCTTTTCCCAAGACAACAATCACTTCAATTGGTGTAAGAGAAGGCCAACTTTCCTGGTGTTCAACTGTTGCCCTCATTGCATTCTATAGAAAACAAAATCATATGGAATTGAGAGGTGAGAGATTATATATATCTCTATAATATTATGTATCTTATATTTCAAATAAAAGTAGCAAAAAATTCAAAGTTGCTATTTTGTTAATCTAGTAGAAGAACTATATGGATTGAGGCTCAATGTCAAGAAGACAAAGATTCTCACCACTGGACCAATTGGCAGCATCAGAATGGATGGTGAAGAGATTGAGATTGTACACAGCTTTAGTTTGCTTGGCTCCACAGTCAACACTCC